TGAGCACGGATAACTCGAACTAACTAACTCCCATTTCCCTTAGCTTCGAGTGGACATTTTTAAACGGTTCAATTTTTCGCTTTCCCTTCAGAGTTCGAGTTACCGGGGATCTACCGTACTTTCAAACACATTTACATTCAAGAAATCTCAAAAATGGCTGGCTTTGGGCACAGGCAACGCTGGCTGTTCTCCTCCGCAGCCTGCGGAAGTACCGTAAACTGCCTCTATTAAGCCTACCCCCATTTTTTAAGTCCCTTTCCAGTTTTTAGCCGATGTACGTGTAATCAAAAAACTACGTCCGATTATAAGCCTATCCTTTCTATCCTCTCGGCGGCAAGGCCAATTTGACCCTTACTGTCGCCTGCCTAGCAGCAGGGCCCCATTCTTTTTAGCCGCACATAAATACTTGCAAAATTTTTCCCAGAAATTTCGCAAAGAAATCCCAGATTGTTGACTAAGCACCTCATCGAGAGGATTCAAATCTCATTAAACAGTTGTCATTCAAAAGTCAAAGAAAAAAAAGAAGAAGAATTCTCTGCCAAGAATCCTTTTTTTTTTAATCAGATGCCCCAAGGATGACTAGCTGATGCCAGAACAAAATTCTAAATTCCCATATAAGGAGTTACTCCTTCTTCGGAGAGTTAAGCTGCTTTCTAATAAAAACACTGAATGATATACATTTCCAAATTGTTAGAATATTTCTTATTCTTAGTGGATTCATTAATAACAGCTTCCTGTCAAGATTCCTGACAGGTCTTTGTTACATCCTGCATCATTTTACTCGATCATAAAAAAAATAGGAAAACTTCCATAACATATTAAGCAAGTTTAAAGTAGAAAGGCGTTTGTTTCCTTGCATATAGTCATTACGAGATCTGTTTTTATTCATAAATTATCGGCCATTCTTTAATGCAGCAGTTATCATAAATATCAGTTACTATATGGGGGCAGAATACTACTAGTTCACGAAATAATCGTCATCGATAGTTACTTAAATTGGAAACATCATATCGACTTTGTTTCCTTAAAAATTGGTAAGACTATTGGAATATTAATTAGTAAGATTATGACACTTTGTTCCCTGCCAAATTCTAGCCTGATGATTCTAACCATATCGTACCCAGTCAACAAACTTCTCATCCGACGTGCCCTTCGATTGATTTATTTTGCTCCCAGTTAAGGGTATGTTATATTCCTTTTTTCATAAAAAGCAAAGATTTTACCTGGAAGGACTTGCTCACTATGTCAAATGAAATTCACAGATACAATACTAGGAATGCTACCAAAGGTAATTACTGTGGAACGGGGTTAAAAAGGACATTGGGGGAAGGACATGCCATGGTGTCCGTAATCTATTGGTGTCCCGCAGAAAGAAAGCTAAAGAAGCTAAGTTGGAAATTTTCAAACTCTTATTTTCAAGAACTGGAGCAAAAGTATGGAAACAAATTCCATCTGACCGAGGAGATACCACTAAATCCGTTTTTTAAAAGAAAAATAGGCAGATTTCTCCTCGATGCTCTTTTGGGTAGGGACGAGTATGTTGTAGTCGATATGCTAATTCAAAGACAACCACTTAAGAAAATAAGTGGAACTCGTTTGACAAATTCAACTTTTCTAAGTAAATCATTTCGCCGCCATACATATGTGGTATCACTTAGCCTGCATCACTGACGTAATCTAAGCCCTGCTTAACTAGAAGTTTAGTTCAGTCTACATAAAAGTATGATTACCACTAGATTTTCTTATTTTTCTGTTTTTTCCATTTCACTCCCGCCTCGATTGGCTGAAGCTTTTACTACGGGCAGCGTGAAATATTTCAGTTCATTTTCGTTTTCAGTCTACTGTCTACCTTTTACTCCTTGAAGTTTTGACGCAATGTGCACTGAAAAAAGTTGTTTTGTTTTATAGCCTAATACAACACCAGTGACAGAACAGTAAAATAATAATGCAGTTGTGGAGTATTTTGAAGGTTATATTAAGTGGGTCAAGGTCAGTCTGGATTTTGTATCGTATCATTCTACTCCTAATTGAATTTATGCGCATCTCGCGAATTCATTCAATTCCATTTCAGGAATATTCTTGGCTCGCCCGTATCACAGGTGGTCGTGTTAGTGCTGTTGAATTTCTTGTTTGGGTTTGTTAATCAACGTTTTAGTTTTCTCATTGCCTAGTCACGGGCTTCTTGCCGAACGCAGCCGTGTACATTCAGTTATGCTAAAACATTTAAAACCACAACCCGTTTGCATAGTTTTTATTCCCACATTCAGCTAACTTTGGCTATAAAAACGACTACTACTTGACTTGTTACTAGAGAGAGTTAGAGTGATAAAAAGGTGAGAGTTCAGAGTAGTAGGAGTAGTAGGCAAAGAAAAAATAGAGGCAAAAATATGAAGTAGACTCTCAGCACCCTCTCGTGTAGCGAGCGAGTTGCTCGAACACACCCCCTACAAAACTAAAACGTAAAAATTTGACAAATCCAAACGTTCAGTTTGAAAGTGACGAAAAGCGGCTCCACGGTTAGAAATATCACGTTTGAGTTAGCGTTCCAAAGGTCTCTTTAGGTCGGCGGTAGGAAACTGTTCCAAAACATGGAATAACGTAAATTGTTCATAAACCCATTTATCTGCTCAGTTCGGTTGGATTTGATTCAAAAGTGGCCGGTTCGCTTAGCACAGTCTCTCACAGGTCACCATTTCTATAATTTTTTGCCCTCTACCCACTGCGTGGTGTGTTGAAATTTCCTGTTTGAGTAACAATTCTAGCAGTTGTTTTGTTTTGTTTTGTTTTGATTTTTTCTTTCACTTATTTGGTACTTAGGACATCCAAACAATGGGGGATTGCAATTTAACTACTACGTCATAGGGTTCCCTGGAAAATTTTTCCTTTTTCATGCATTTGCTCATCAAAACAACACGAAGGCAAAAAGCAGCCACCCAGTTCTTAATAGGTTCCTTTGCTTCATTGACCTCAGCAGCCATTCAAGGGTTCAGTGATTATCATTAGTACATAGATGATAGTTAAGATTAACCCACTTAACTCTGATGTCATTAGCTAGTGGTGAAGTAAACATGAGGTGAAAAAGTGGGCCTAACATCGAACCATGTGAGGATCCAACAGACAGAGCTCTCCCTTGGATCTTGAATCGTGCAAAAGAGTGCTGCAGCTCTAACGCAGAGGCCATGGTTTCGAATCCCGCCGGGTTTAGCTGAGCTCAACAAAGTGGCCTGTTCCCACTGTATGGTTCTTCACGAAGCTCAGTAGATGGAACGCTGCAGCGCTAACACAGAGGGAATATTTTCGAATCCCGTTAACCTGAGCTTTTCCTTCTTCGGTTTAATTTGCAGTTGTTTAAATTGCTATTACAACTGCGATGATCTATTTATTTATTTATTATTTATTTATTGAATTGTTTTCACCATGATTACAATGCTAAAATAAGAACAGGAAAAAAATACATTTGAACAAGTCACAAGAACGAGAGACGAAGGTGCGGGACACACAACAGAACGAGCCTCCAAATTAAGTGTGCCCTTAAGAAGAATACACAAATACTAATTATGCAAACATTAGCTAAACATTAAAACATTATGAGAACTATAAAATCCTATTTCCAAAAACGATAAGAACGAATCACTCCCGCAGCCGATAAAAAGTCTCAGTAGCAGCAGTTGCCAGCTAATAGAAGATTACGTGAGCCACTGCATTTGCAGCAGATCGACTTCCAGGTGTTAAAGTTAGTGACGTCATAGTTTGTACGATAAGCAGCAGAATAGCGTTGGAGTACGTGAGGTTTAAACTGATTAAGAGAAGTAAGAGTACGAGTGGATTCAGGTCAGGTTCTCTGGCATTCCAGAGTTTAGCAATACTGTTAAAGTAACTAAATTGAAAGAGCTTTAATCATCTATGGGTAAGGTGTAATGGCCAGCGTGACACTTGAAATAAAAAATTAAGTCTTTCACTTCATTCCAGTTTGTTAACGGGAGCAGATTGAGGCGAGAAAGGCGCTCATGATAAGAAATATCCTCTTGCCAGTGCGTGTTTAAGATGAATTTTGTTGCCCTGCGTTGAAGACTCTCTATTTTGGTTATACTACGTATCGTACTGGGAGCCCACACCTCGCTAGCATAGCCAATATATAATCTTACAAACGTGAGATCTAGTAATTTCCTATGGCCTGTAGTGAATGACATAACACTATTGCAGCGCAAAAATGCGAGCATCCTATTGGCCCTAGCTAAGATAGTGTTAATATGAGTGTCCCATGTGAGGTCCGGCGAGATAGTCACTCCAAGGTCTTTTACTTGAGTGACGTGTTTAAGTGAGTTGTTGTTCAACTTGTAATCGAAGCGAAACCTGGTGGCGCTTACGTGTGACGGTTAGTACCTCACATTTAGAGATGTTAAACTTTAGGTGCCAATCATCCCTCCAGCCATGCAGACTGTCTAGGTCCTTTTGGAGTGACTCACAATCTTGTAGACTTTCAATGACACTGGAACATTTTGAGTCATCAGCGAAGTGCGCGATACGATTCTCTATCACCAGCGGGAGATAGATCACATATACTAAAAACAGCAGAGGACCAAGGATACTGCCCTGAGGGACTCCTGATGGAACTGGAGAACGACTTGAAGAGAAACTGTGGACCAAGCACCGCCGACCGCGGTGATCATATTTTTATGTAAATTTATATTTTCGCAGTTCACATCATCATCTTCATGATAATAGTACTGTAGTAATGATAACGACAGGATTAAAGAGCAGGAAACTGACTTGATAGATTATGCTGACTAATACATACATATTCTGCAAACTTATACCTTAGAAACAAGAGTCAAAAACCGCCCCCTCATTGGAAGAAGTGAACAAATTCCTAGTTCAAATCCAAGATCAAATCAGTTGCATTAAGTCAGTTGGCAAATTAAATGTAACCCAGTAGAAAATATTACAGATAATTGTTATTTCTATATTGGGAAAGGTGTTCAGCAAGAGGTCTTTCCAGTATGATTTTTTCTTTTAATTTGCGAATTCGCCTACGTTTACTTGTTGATATTTTCATCTTTACAGCGGGCCTTGGAGAAGGTTTTGAAATGCGATGGTGCACAATTTCAGCTGAGGAGACATCCAAATGTAAAGATTTTAAAAGCGCTATAAACAAATTTGCTTCAGAAGAGAACTTATCTGTCGATTTTTCCTGCGTTCAGGGGAGTAAGGCTGTGGACTGCATGAAGAAAATTAAGAGTGGCAAAGCTGACCTGATTACTCTTGATGGCGGAGAAATCTTTACTGCAGGTAATCAAACTTTGTTAGAAAACTTACCCGAAATATTTAGTTATTTGAGAGCCTAGTAACAAGGATTTTTAAAAAAACTGCCTTCGTTAAATTTTACACCATTTTTATCTCTTTCCTATGTTAGTAACAACAAAACTCGAAGAATCGGCGTTACGGAATTTACAAGTTAACCGAAAATTGCAAAATTTGCAATTTCAAACATCTTTGGTGAGGTTTTCGACAAATTTTTCAAAGGTTTTATCCTTTTATCATATAAATTAGTGATTTTCGTCAAAGCTTTGTTCCAATTCGACATATTTTCTTTTTGTTGTTTATAAACACATCTTCAAAGCGGCGCTGCAGATTTTCCAATTTGAACGGTCTTGCACTGACGAACGCGGAATATGAACATATGTAACATAACAATAAACTGTCAAGTGGATAAAGCTCTTTTGTTGGTTTTTAATAAAAGTGCTCAACATAGCGCGGTACATGTATCAGTATCTAAATGATTCCTTCATACAATGACTGTCAATATTGAGAATATAGAAGAAATCAGGGACACCCAATGACTGTTTTCTGTGAAATATCTGTTCGGAGAAGCAAAAGTTGCCTAGAATGTTCTGTAGGTCGAGGAAGGCTAAAACTTTTAAGATGACAGTTCCATTCATGTACAATTTTCGAAGCTTATCGTATATATGAATTCCCTAGGAGATAACAAAATGATGAGTATGAACATAAGGTATGGCGTGTGCGAAGTCTACGATTTTCTGAAGTTTAATTTTTCCCATTTCACTCCCCAAGTTAAACTATTTTTGGGAAACCTAAAATGTTGCGAAACCGGAAATGCAATGCAGAGAGGAAAAGAAAAATTCTCACTTTCGTAAAACTTTAAAATAAGGAAAATAATTCTGAAGCTCTTCTTGTTTCGAAAAGACTCAAGTTGCCCTAGGATGACAGAACAGATGAGTAATTTTTAGCGTCACTTAGAATACATTCCTAGTAATCTCAGTAAAAGTACTTAGGAGGAAACCGTCGTTGGGTGCCCCTGAGAAATGAACACGTTTGCTCTCAATGTTCTTCGTTTACTGCACTCTAATTGCTTGCCGCTACTTGGGAAATTTTCCTCTTCTCACGCGACTTTATCTTTTAAGGAAAGAAGTATGAAATGGTTCCCATTGTTGGTGAAGATTATGAAACTGGGACCACAAGTTATTTTGCAGTGGCGGTTGCAAGGAAGAACTCGAGCCTTACGTTTAAAACTCTAAAAGGAAAAAAGTCTTGCCACACTGGAGCAGGAAAAACATCCGGTTGGAACGTACCTGTTGGTCTTCTTCTCTCAAAGAATATCATGCAGACAAACGAAAGTTGCAATGCTTATACGGCAGCCGGGGCGTTTTTCAGTGAAAGCTGCGTACCAAGTAAGAATATCACTCCTACGTATTCTCTCCGAGTCTGAATTTTTTTAAAGGGTATGTCATAGACTGGTACGTACTGTCTATTAAAGCTGTGTCTCGGGACAGGGCGCTGCTTCATATTAAGGAAACTGGGATAAGCTAGGCCGTTTTAGCCTGTTCACAGGCCCTCGATTTTCTCTTCAAAGTCCGTCAAGCGCGCGTGATAAAAAATAATAACCGCGGGGGATTTATTGATCGCCAGCGCAAGGGAGTACAGGTAGGGGTAGGCTTGCTCGCCGATGTTTTCGAAAGTGACGAAAAGAAAAATAAAACAATGTCTGTGTACAGGCTACTGCCATTGGGCCATTGTGTCGTGTGTGCCTTTACCCTTTTTTATAGCCAATTACATCTAGACCATCATATTTGTCATGATAGACAACCAATAACATCGTGACCTAGTGACTACCGCTCTGGTTGTCAGTCGCTGTCAACAACAGTCCTATTCAGGATACCGCTCAGGCTGGATGATAAGAATCCACCTACTTACTCTATATTACTGAGACCTGAGTTCCATCAATCAAAAGTCAGGAAGTGAAATGCTTTGAAAATTGGTTAGGTAGGGATAGCACTTTTCCATTTTTTAGTCTGTAACATTTTTCTTTTATCTTGGTTACAGATGTCAAAACTTCGACTTACGATCCGACAGGTACTAATCCTGACAACTTGTGCGCTTTGTGCACAGACGAATGCAGCAAAAATGGCAACTATTCTGGCTACTCTGGCGCTTTCAAGTGTTTGAAGGACGGAGTGGGAGACGTGGCGTTTGTTAAACACACTACAGTGCCATCAGCTGAGGCTAGCTCATATGTATATCTGTGTAAAGATGGAACTACCAAGGGTAGGTATTGCGGTTTACTGCAGCACGGCGTGCTACGCAGTTTAACAAGTCTCCTTCAATACTTTTCTTGTAGAACAAGAGACCCAGGCCACTGTCGACGTAATATATCAAAAAGTGGTGATTTTCTTTTCCAGATACGTATGAAAACTGTTACCTCGCAAAAGTTCCATCTCATGCCGTGATGGTGAAAAAAGGAAACGCTAACAATGCCAACTACAGACAACTATTGCTATATGCTTCTAAAGTTGCCGGAATCAATCAAACCGATCCGACACAGTTCCAGCTGTTTAATTCGTCCAAGTATAAGGGTAAAGATCTCTTGTTTAAAGACTCAACGAAGCGGCTCGTTGACGTTAAGGACAAGAACACCTACGAAAAATGGCTTGGTACCGACTACCTGGAAGACCTGAAGGCCTTAACAGCTTGTCCAACTACACCCCGGTCAACTACACGGCTTACTGCAGGAGGAAAGAATAACATGTTAGAATTACTGTCTGCCATGATCTCCTTCATAGCACTGTTTTACACAGGAGCTTTGTTTAAATGAAAGCTCTGCAGTAAGTAGCGAACATCCTTTGTTTCTGCTTCTGTTATCTTTTAAATTGTTTGGTAGTACAACCACAAGGGTTTTTCCTTTGGAAAAAAGCGAGTTGTTAGAGTCACAGTAGTTGAACCCCACCCTCCACTCTCGGGCATTGATTTTTTCCCGCCAAGGGATGGACTATTTACCCTTAAAATCAGAAAACCTTGAATACCAACTGAAATATTTTAGGGATATTGATTGACAGTATTGAGGTCCGTCACAAGAAAGGTAAAGGACTCACCGACAGACTTTTAGACCACCCGTTAATTAATTCCAATGTTTAGTTTTCTTACACTTGATTGGCCTTTTTCTTGCAATACAATAACATTTCCTACATTTTCCTTTGTTCACGGTTCTCCAAGTTTCACAGCACTTTTGATGATCAGATGTGTAAGGACAATTATATCCACGGGTTTTAAAAGCGAAAAAAAATCATACATAGTGCAGCGGCAGCCTGCGTGCTGACGTCTGCTGTTTCCTTTATGATTAGGCAAGAGAGGATAAAGGATTAGGCTTAGAATGTTGACATGTCGTGAAAAAATATCATGCAAAGCAGAAGCCTGAAGAAAGTCAATGCACACGAAATTAGCTCGAAAGATTGAAAGTGCTTGAAATATTGATGCGCTTTTTCCGCTCAAACATAATTAGTCCATCCCTTAGTTGAACTTTCAAGTTTCCTTCTTGCTGTTTTCTACTGACTTTTTTTCGTTAGTCCTAGCTATGCCGTCAAATATTTTTTAACGGCAGTTCTTGCCAGTTTCATTTGCTAGGAAGAAACAATTGTGTCAGTGAAGTCAGTGTGTTATAAAAAAAATGCTTTGTTCTTTGGTTGACTCTCAGAGAAAGAATAGACTATGAGAGGTTTAACCCTTAGACTTGATAAGTGTTTGGTCCACTTTTCAAGGAGAAAGCAATTTTCTTTTATGTATTAGACAGAGAATAAACAACGTTAAACTGGATTGTTTCCTTGTTAACCAGCAAATTAGAAGGATTTATTTAGGAAGAAAATAGTTTTTAATCTCATTTTTGAGAACGAATAAACAAAGTTATACTCAATATTATATTGCTTCTGTTTTTCCTAACATTTTTTCATATAAAAGGTGTTGGATTTGATTTGATTTTCTGTTAGTTGTAAATCATGTTTTAATTTCTGTTCAAGTCCCTGGCAACGCGAATTTGTATAAGTTAGCAATCAGCTCTTGCTCTCTGAGATCTGAGTGAATGAAAAGAACTGGTCGCACTTTATTCAAGTTAACACAGGCTCAGGCCCTTAAGACCATAAACCTGTTCCAGGCCTCTTCCACGCGTTCACATAGTGGAGCGCGGCGTCAGGTGAGAGAGCGGGAAAAAAGGAGTAGAGAGGCTCCCTGCTGGGGCAGCCCATCTCTTTGCGCCATCCCGGCCCACAATCTGAAGGCCTGGAACAGCTAGAAGACCACAGAAGCCAACCGAAAACAACGAAACCAAACTCAGTCTGGAGGATGATATTGTAACCTACCTTAACTTGAAGAAAATAAAAAAACGAATAGCTTTAATTTTGCAGCGGGGGGAGATGGGGGGAGTAAATATACCGCAAACATTTTACTGAAGGCGTTGACTTATTCGCTCCAGTGATCTGTCATAACAAGAGAAAATATTATCTTCATCAATGCGTTACACAAGACAGTTTAATTCTTTCGGGCTTCCTTTAGGTTCAAACGAAAGATCAGATGTCAGGTCGGATACCCAGTTTTGAGTAGTGAGTATGAAGACTTGTCCTTCCTCTCATCATCATAGAACCTAATTTCGCAAAACAGTAGAACTTAGCAGGATAATGGAAGACTGGGTGTTTCCAAGTTGGCTGTCATCCTCACACTGGCATTTGAACACATCCAAAAATGCTCTACGGAATTTCTCGCTAAAAAAGCTGTAGATAAAAGGGTTGCAAGCCATGGAACAAACAGCCAACACGGATGAAATTTTGATTGCTGTAGCAAGTGCCTCCGGATGGGAAATATCGATGAACCGTATAACAAGAATTATAATTTGAAATGGCAGCATACAGACTAAAAACACAATAATCACCGTTAGAAGCATGTAGATTGTCTTGCGCTTTTTCTTCGTTCCATGAATGGTCAGTTTATATGGTGAGGCTTGTTCTTTTTCGCCTATAACTGATTGGCTTTGATGGTTTGTCAGTACACGTTCTGGTTGCCACAGATTGTGCATGATAATAGCATAACTTATGCTGATCACCAATATTGGTATGACGAATAATACGACAAAAGCAACGACCGTATAAACTCGATTTCCCGTAACATCTCCGTGATCTTTCCAATCTTCAGCGCAGCGTTTGTTAGATGCTCTGCCTGTGGTAGATACGACCCACGCCTGTGGAGTTGCAATACCACAGGACCCCAACCAAATGGCCAGAATTACAATCGTTACTCTTTTGTAGGAATGTCGGGAGGCGCGGACGGTAAAGGGATTAACTATGGCTTGATATCTGCGGACAAAACAATAAAAATATTATGGGATTTCGTCGCTGATTAAACCGTCAGAGGCCAGATATGAAACTTATCTTGATTTGATAAAGAACGTTAAGACAAGAGTCGCAGTAACCAAAATGCGGATTTCATACCACTTGCTACCTGTTGAATCTGGGCGCTACGAGGAGATACCCAGAGTTCAGAGGCTTTGCTCCCTTCGTAATAGATCCGAAATTGGTGATGAATTCTACTATTTGTTGAAATGTAATCACTTACCACTTTTTCATATAAGGGGCACCTTCTTGGAGAGCCTATACTCAATAAACAGTAATTTTACGAATATGTCTTAGAAGGTACTATTTTTATATATCATGTCTATGTGAGAGAAAAACATCATAAATCTTAGTGCCTCTTATATTGAAAATATTCTAAATTGTTATAAATACGAACTCTAATTTAACCCAGTCTTATTTGCTTTTATATTGACTGTTTTGGTACTGAAATCTTCATGTCGATGATTAACTTCAATGAAGTAGTTGTTAATGTTGATTAAATGGTTTATTATGAAAGACGGAGTATTTAATCCTCTTTGGATGAAATGGAGTCGTTCGATTTATTGGGATGCTAAGATAGAGTTGCCTAAATACAAAGTGTGGGTCTTTCGATCTCTATAAATCTGATCCAGTTATTATATTATGGCCCCTAACCTACTTCTGCCTCTGAGTTTACTTTTATTGCTCGTGGTGTTTGGTTCCAAAATCACGGGCCGGGCAAATACTCCATTTTATATTTTTGTACATATTTTTTCAACGCCTTGCGGTTGGGATTTGTCTGGTGTTCGGCTCTATTTTTATATCAAGTGTTTTATTAGATATAGAATCTTTCCACCCACTGTTCATGTCAGGAAACCAGTTGACTGAAGTTTCACCTCAAGCCAAGTCATTTCGTCAATATTCATCTTGTGATGGAAAACTGCCCGACCTAGGATTTCAGTTACTGTGACCACGCACATTTGAAGCCCTAAGGGACTGTTCAGTTTTCATTTTAAATCTCGCTGAGCGTACTTTCTATCAGGTTGCAAGAGTCCTTGGCAGAGTTAATGTCTGAAAAATTTTCCCCTCTTTTCCAGACTGTTTTTAAATCAAGGAAATGAACCTGATGAATGAGAGGCATTATTAAATAATAGACTAATTATGGCGAAGGGAAGAAGGGTGAAGTTAAACAGGACAAGTGAAGGAGTGAAAACCAAAGAAAGCCTTTTTCGAATGAATTCGCAATTTTGCCAGTTGTGATAGGAAAGTGAGAGGCGAAACTTATGAGAGAGGACTTGCTGGTCAGTCCTCTAGCTCCTAGCTTTATGGTGCTCGGCACTTGTCTCGTCACTGGTCCCCAGACCAGAAAATGTTGAAAAGTAACCGCAAAATGATGTACAAACCTTTCTAGGGCTAACGCGACCATGCTATAAATAGATACAGATACAGAGATCGTAGAAATCACGTTTGTGGCGGGACACATGAAATCACCAAGAGGCCAGCGATTAGGGGAGATCTCTGTGGCCAATAATGATGGTACCGCAAACAAGGTGGAAAACATATCTGATGCAGCCATGTTGAGAAGGAAAAGATTGGTAACAGTGCGCATGTCCCTTTTCTTACTGATGACAATGCAAACAAGTGCATTACCTAAAAGGATCAATAACAATCATGTCAGTGGGCTATAGCTGCTGAGTGATCTGCCTTACAACTTCAGTCATTTTAGATGAAAATTAAAATGTTTAGTATTATTTTAATTATTATGTTATACGCGATTGAAAAACTTAGCAATTCAGTTTGTTTTTTTACCTGAGTCAGGTATGACATTTATGTCCTTATTTATGTCTAAAAATTTGTGTGACGACTTTTGTTTTGCGATGCTTTCCTCGAGAATAAAAAAAACCTCTTTTAGTGTATGCTATTTTCTTTATCTTCCTTGTTAGAGAAATACAAACATCGTGATTTTTTGGGGGGATTCTTAATTATCTACCCACGAAATGTTAATATACCTGCAACTTTAGTTTAAATAGTATATTGTTCTTTTCAATGAGTCAACGTAAATATAAACTTCTGCACAAATCATGTTACGAAAAGATTGTGTCATCTTTTAATATTGGGAAATGAACTGGTACTCATTTTAAGTTACCATGATTTAAATTATGTGAAATAATTACAATCATCCTCTTAACAGAAAAGTATAAAATAAAATGATAGAGCCTTCTTTCAGTTTCTACTGTCGTCGGTCAGACTACGATTTTGTAATTATTGAAAATTGGAAGGATTTTGATTGGAGCATTCATTCTACGCATTCCCAAGTCTCTAAATAAAGAGGACTACGAAAAAAAAAAATTTTTCTCATCATGTCTACCTACCTATCGAAGACCTTTTAAAATAACTTGCTCAGTTTTCTTACCTACAACTGACACAATGAACAACACACCATAAACAATGGAGAAGGCTACAACTTTGTCCATGGAAGACAAAAAGATCTCATCGTCATTGATGTTGGCTTCAGAATCCTTCTGGTTCTCGCCGCCGGTGTGGTTGAAATAGTTTGAACCATTTCTAACCTTCATTCCTTTTGTATCAGTTTTCTTTTCGAATTCACCTTCAGCCGGGATCAGCCTTCAGTTCAGTTTCAGTGATTTAGAGCGAAAAATATTGTCTGTCTGCTATATTCAGTGTCAACTTTACCTGTGGAAACCAAACTATTCGAAAACGATTTTCATGTAAATATTTTTAGAGCGGTAGTCCTCGCTTACTGACTATTTTATGACACATAATGCGGGATGAAAAAAGGACGGTCTGCTCTACTTCTGTTCTCCAAAACATCAGAGTTACACCAGAGCTGAAAGGTTTTACCCTCTGCATCCACAGCACTGGCGATAAAGTGCAATCAGTTTTCACACCAAAACACCTTTTCTCTCTTATTTTTTAGTCGCCAAATAGATCTATTGTAACAATTTTCTCTTTTTTACATTAGGTCTATTGTTTTGAGTGTCAAACCAGATTGCATGTCTCTTTCTGTTTGAACAAGAAGGTTTTACAGTGACTTATCAATACCAAAACTAAACATTCTTTCACCGCAAATACGCGATCTACCAACCATAAGGTCTTAGTTGTCTAAAGAAAAACAACACGACAACAGAAAAGAAAAAGTAAATTGATGTTCAAGTGAATTGATACCTTAGTTTAATAATTCTTGCGGTTTTTCTTTCTTGTTGTACAAATTGCGCCCTCAGTTGCGGATGTACCAGATTACCGCTTACTTTGTTTTAATCCGCCACTCGTAAATATGGTAGGTTTTTAAAGGTTCTTAAGCTCTCGATTAGTCAGTCCAGGCTAAATAAAGTGCTCAACCGGTTTTCTTTCAGGGGTTAACAACAAAAATCCGGGGCAGGGGTTATCTAGCATAAAAAAGGTTTTAAAAGCTACATTGGAGACGGAAAGTTACTTAGTGGTTCCTTTCTTGACTTGCTCTCAATCTTCAAGCGGCTCCGCCGCCAAAAAAACTACAGCAACTCGTCTGCTAATCCCGCCAGCTGGACAGTTACATAGGCTCCGTCGCGAACTCCTGGTATAATTGAGATTTTTCTGAGTACCCGTCCCCCCACGGGAGTTTCGGCAGCAGAGGTGAAAGCAGAGGTGCTGCGAAGTCGTGCAAAGAATGGGGAGAAGACGCTTCGGCGCTCCCTTCTCGCCTCGTCGTAAGAGACCTCTGCTAGCAGGGAACAATTCCGTCTACGGGCACCTAAAACAGAACAACCCAGACGTAATCCAGATTTCTCGAATTCGGCCCGTTTCTCGAACCTCCTGACAAATCATGAAATCATACAGAACTGACTTCCTCCCTTCACAGTAAAACACTGTTATTTTAACCCGATTTTTAAATCAGGTTCCTTCCTTCACAGAAGCTCCTAGGGGAGGGTCGAAAAATCAGGAATGCCTAGACCTTGTCACGGTTTTGGAAGCCATCTTGACGAGTAGACAATTGCGTGAGAAACCCGGGGGTACTATTATATATGGGAAACTGATCCAGTGGTTGAAGATTTTAGTCTAGACTAGGGAATTATCTCTCCAAAATGCAAAAAAATCAAATCAGGAAGATTAGTCTAGTATCTGAGGGTAGCAAAATTCACTTGGACCAGCTCTGAGCTCTGGTATAGGTTAGGGGTTCCAGGGCCCAAACGTCACATGTCCACCCAAAAATTCCTAAAGTACCCCCCCCCCCAACACCCCTGGGCCCGGGTGAGAAATGAGAATCTAATGTCGAATAATTTCCGCTAAACGGTAGCCTCCCACGCAGGCGTTTTAGCTCCCCTAAAAACGCCTGCGTGGGAGGCTAGTAAAACGGCTGTTCTGGAAAAATATGAATTGTGAACTAAAGCTACCCTGGAGCTACACCGCAAAGGATTTTACTAACAAATTTTGGGGGCCGTAACTGTGCTTAAATTTCTCCTCACGCTTGCTTTAGATTTTCCATGTATTTGTCTGCAATTTTTCCCGGGAAATTTTTTAGTTCCCGACAAATGTTCAGCAATCTTAAAGTGGTTCTGGCCCATGAAGCTGCATGTAACGCCCTCAGATTTTTTCAGTAGAATCGTTAGGAGTGAAGCTTTAGTTCACAATGCATATTTTTTTTCAGGACAGCCGTTTACGGAAATTATTCGACGTTAAATTCTCATATACAAACACTGTAATTTTTCACCCGGTTGCTACTCGTCAAGATGGCTTCCAAAACCGTGACAAGGTCTATTGTAAAAGTTTGGAGAATCAGCCCTAGTTTGTGCATGTTCAGTACCTGCTGCTGAATGGATGATGGCGGCCCAGTAAAGGAGGCGCGGGCTTCGAGATGTTTTTACTATAATACAGGAAAACAAAGAGATATAATTCCGCAATTGCAATCAGAACAGTCACCTCTTTGCAGCTCTTTGGGAACCGCTATTCAAGCTTGCTCGCTATGATTTTTACGTGACCTCGTGACTCGTGACCTGTGGCGAAAGATGAGCCAATAAAAATGCGGTAGTGTTTGATCAGAACCAATCAAAAATCATGAAATCGCTCAGCATTATTTGATGAATGCTCTCTGACGCATGAAAGAGCTTGCCAACTTGGCGCCATTTTGCATTCTTTGTCGTTGTTGACTTATTTTAAGTTAAATTTTGACTGATTTCTTCACGATGACTGCGGAAGGAAGCTATCTTACCGAGCTTTTAGCCGAAAAGGACAACTTAGATCCTTCCTTTGTGCATTCGATGCGCTTATTAACAGAAGGTGAGTGGGAATGCTCTTCAAGTTGAGGTTAAATCACCGCTCGACATGAACATCTGCATTCCTTAGCGGTCAGGAACCACCAGTTGCTCGCAGCTAAAAGCCTGCTCTTGTATATATAGCTTTACTCTTACTTCAGCTTTTTTGTTTAAAGGCTACTATATAGTTAAGGTGTAACTTTCCGATATCGTAAGTTATCTTCGGACTCATTTTTTACACCGCTTAAGCATGACCCTCGAGAGAATTATTTTGTTCCACAATCTTGTTGATCTTGTTTTGATTTCTGAATAGTGATTTTAAGTTTAATGCAGTTTAATATTTTATGGCCCTGACATTCAGATTATTCATTTCTGCCGTCCTTCGGCCTTTAGAAGCACTACGTTTATATTTCGTGCTGTTTCTCCAATCGACTGCTCTGGTTCGACCTCAGCTACAGTAGAATACAAAAGACCATTGTTGTAAAGGCCATCCCAAAGTTATGTGTGGTATTATTTGATTTTTTTCCCTATTTCATCTGAAAATCTGTCTCCAACTTAATCTTTATTCAAACTAGTTTGATTTAGAAATTCCTTTTTTTCCCTAGCCCTAAAATAATTCATAATAGAGGAGAAAAATTCTGGTTAGAGTGGTTTGCTTCGTCAGAATGTATCGTAATCTGGTGTTCCTGTGGCATAAAGGCAGAAAATTTCGAGCTATCACGGGCAACTGCCAATTAGCCGTCCCTATTAATTTTATCAGGGGCATCTCGGCCAGGAAACTGGACTGCTTTCAACTCGATTTGGTTTCGAAAAGTGACGAACACGCATCCATAATCAGTGATTACCTCTAGCTTTATCATAGTTCAGTGCAAATTGTGGGATGCTACATTAAGCCATCTTGTATTCATAGGCCCAACCATTCTGCCCCTCAAAACCTCTAAGTAAAGTTTTCTCTGCATAAAGGATGTATGTCAACCTAAATGAGAATCTGACTGAAGTGACCTGAATGTTGGATTGGTACCATTTTCCTAAGCTGCTATTTCTCAGTTTGCATCTATGATTTTGTAAGAATTTTTGTGAAAACTTTATACAGAAATGATCCAATCCAGATTAGGGCTTTGCATGGCATGGATATTTTAAGGGTATTTTGTATACAATAACATCAAAGAGGAAATGTGGCCTTTTGTAGAAAAAGTGAACAAAAAAGTATTCTTGTGTCAGAGGTAGGTGTTGAACTTGCAAGATTTGAAAATGCAAACCTTTGTATAACCACTCATCCACTGAGCTGTTGAGGATCATTTTATGTAGAAGAATTGTACATTAGTTAGATTTCAAGGCCTTAAAAGTACAGTTGTACTTGAAAATAGTTTGTGGACCTTGAAACTCCCTAAATTTTTACCAAACAACATCTTAATCGTCGTTGCTTTGAAACATACCCAATACTCTATTTCCAATTGGCTGAAAAATGTGACGGAACACTTCAATTACATGGAACTGTTTAATGTTTTCACTGTGTTCACATGGAACTGTGAAGAGCTAATCCAATAACTTTTCATGCAATTTTGGTGGTTCCATGTGAACAAAACACCTAAATGCACAAACTTTCTGTTGGTTGAAAATTTGTCCAGTGGTGTGTGAACATAGGTTACAACTAAAATAGGAAATGTAGTTATTTCATTGCTAAATGTATGACAACTCTGATTTCGTTGTAAAACAGATCATAATAAATTTTTCCAAGTCTTTGTTAATGGTGATGTAGCTAAAGTTAAACTTGTGAGGTATTGCCTCTGAAAATCCGCATGAAGCCTTAATTTATGTCACAGTGCCTTCTTTTTTGAGAGACTTCCAAATGTAAGAGAAGACTAAGACGAATAGTGTGCCAAAATGGCAACAAATTTAAATGCTTAGAAAAAATCTAACAAAATCGTGTGGTGTTCAATTCAAAAATTTTTCTGCAGGGGTTCTTGAAGAACATTATTTGGTGTGTGCTTTTTAATTAAAAAAATAATGTGTAACCAACAAAAAATGTGTCTGGATTTTTTTGTGTCAAGAAAATATTTTTGAGAGTCACTTTTTTCTATCATCTGACTATTTGAAAGCCCTATTTTCAAAATTTTCTGTAACTCTACATTGCAAAACCCTGATAAGTTTTTTTAGCTCTTTAACTTGTTAAAGACTAGAACAAATTAAGTAAGTGAGAAGACAAATTATTGCTCTGAGTTTTAGCTTTCAAAAGCTGATTCAGAATGTTGCTTGCATTATAAAATCAACAAGAGAGCGCTTACAGTGGCCTCCACTCTTTCCTGCTTGGAGATTAGATCAAGAAATGAGGAGGTGATTAATTCTACACGAAACAGGATTTACTCACTAAATATTTTTTACTTCCTACTTTATCGCCGTCAATACTTTTTACTTGTTTCTGAATTGATTTAGTACGTGTGTTAACGGCAACCAGAAATACATCTATGGTTGAAGGCTATACCCCTGTATAAATACATGAAAATTCAAGGGCCTTGATTCCAGAGAAATTACATCATTGCCAGAGATCAAAAAGTGATTTACTTGGTACATCATTTCAGTCATCGCCGAAAATAAATCGGACGTTCATCACAACAGCCATTTGCATACAATGACAGTTTACAACACCCGACTATGGCAGTTTTGCTAATTAAGTTTCTTATTTTTTTTGACCACTCAGTGTTCACTTGTTCCAAAGTAATCGACGATTTCAAGCGATAGAATTCATGGACCAACACCTTTCAGAAAAGCTCTAAATTTAGTCTTTCCTAAGCTTTCGTTGCAAAACATGCGTGGCTTCGATCACTCAATGATTCTTAGTCCCAGTTTCCATGGACTCCCCGAGGAACACCTGGCAACAGCCCGGGGGGCGGGGGGGGGGGTCTTTCAGAAAAACTGGGTGGGGGTGTGCAGCATACTTCCTGAAACCATTTCAGACCTGATCAAAAATTTGATACCTCATTTCAAACCTGAAGCCCTGGAGCCCGGCATGTGACCAGAGCATGTGGCAAGCTGTTATGGCATGTACACGGTTGGTGTAAACATTAAAATGGAAATGGTCTTATCGCCAAATGATGAAGAAATAGCTTCTTCCAAAAAACATACCCAATTCAAGACTAGAGTGCCCAAACCATACTCTATTTCAGCCCAAAATGGTCAAAATTGATACCCTATTTCAGACCAAAATTGCTAAAAAAACATACCCTTTGGTGCTGCACATACCCATATAGCCTATATAAGGGAGTACTCCCCCCGGGCCTCTGCTCTCTGCTTACTCAAGCAAGACTAATAATAAATAAACAGTGCAAGTTTTTAAAAAATAAATTGTTGTTTTATTAAGATAACCAGTTCAATACTGTATTACATGTAACACAGCAGTGATTTTTTATCTTTTTATTTCTATGGATTACCAGAAATCAACCGAATGCAAACTGGTGGTGCTGTCCCTGTTGGACAGGTGAGTGTGAAGCAAGAAAGAAGAGAAGAAACAGCATCAACCAATGGTAGTTCTATACCTGGCTTATCAGATAGCCCAGTAGGTACCAACCAGGGACCGCTGACCACAAGTGCAGAGGTAGCACCTACCCCCAGACCACCACCACAACACCAGTTCCGTAGACCAGCAGATGTATTTGATAGCAAGCTCTATAAACCAACAAAGTTGACTGAAAAAGTGTTCATACCTGTTAAGGAATATCCCAAGGTTGGTTACTTGCATACTTTATTGACTGTATTTGCACAATAAAAGCTTTTCGCCTAAGGTAAGGAATTTCTTACACAAAATCCCTACCTAGCCTCAGGAATCTTAATCTCGATCTTAATTCTTCACATCCTTGTCAGCCTCTGACATCTGACCTTGTGGCACTGAAAATTTATTAACAGCTATTTTTTATTTGAGACTGGAAACCAGAGAGAATTGTCTTGATTATATATGTGGTAACTTTATGGATGGTGAAGATTCTCTTTTGAAAGAGGAAAATTGTGTTGCATCTCGAAAGACTTGTGCTGTTTTTAACAAAAAGGAGAAGGTGGAGATGCACGTGTTGTTGAAGAGGTTCTGGTCTTTGGAGTTCCACCAACTGGCCTCAGTGTACAAGTGACATGCCAAGCAAACTCTGCTTTTGTGAACAGTGGAAAGCCATTATTCACATACAGTGTCTTTGCTGTAACAAATGTGTCCGTAATCTTTGCTTTGTGGCAGGCATATATGGCCAGGCTCAGTAGATTTAACCCCACCAGCCCCACTTTATTTTGTGTTTTTGTGTTAAAATTTACTACAAGCATGTATCTTAGTCATTCATTGTGCATACAATGTACACTTTTTGTGACCATTAAAGCATTGACATTGAAAGCCATTCCATTCATAATAATCAATAGCAATATTACATGTATTTCTACATGTACATGTACAATGCTGCTTAGAAATATCTGTCCAAAATTTGCTTGTGAAAGGCATGTGTACAATTTGTGTATATGCATCTACGTCTGAGTGTGCGTGCATCTCTGACACTTCTGATTAGTGTACTGTATACATGAGCTAGCTTATTGCCTACTTATTGCTCTTATTTTATGGTTATTTTTAGCAGACTTTAATTGTAAGTCAATGGATCTTAAACAATGAATTGAGATTTGGGCAACTGAGGAACTGTGTACAAGTAACCATACGTTTATCTACCTACAGCGTGACTCAAACATTTGAACAAGTCCGCGTCATTGGCACTAAATGAATCCTTTGCTAAATGTTTTCACGTCAATTATTAATTCTAGCATCTTTTTCTTAGAACTGAAATGTTTTGATTTTAAGAATGGTTCTAGAATGAACACATATTTTGGAAAGTAAACTGGGGGTGTACCAGTAGTTCTTTATCAGGCGAATGTAATGTCCTTGATGGTCTATAGTGAATTAAGAGGTCACTTAGGATGGCGCTAGTTGATTAAGGCATTTTAAAGTCGTTAGTACAATTTTAAAATGAATACGCTCATGAACGGGTAACCAATGTAGATCTCTTAGCACAGGTGTAATATGTTTGTGTTTATGTGTGCCCGTTAGAAGTCGGGCTGCTGAATTCTGGACGTACTGGAGTTTTCAGAGTTGATCCTGCTTAAGACCTGAGAGTAGTATATTATAGTGGTCAATCTTGGATGTTACGAATGCGTGGATCAAAGTTTCACAATTACAGAAAGAGATATGTTCTGATTTGAGCAAATTCCCTCTCGTTTGGGTGCCATGGGACTTTGACAATGATTTCAGTGAAAACCTAACTTAAAGATTTAAGGCGGCCAAATTATGATATTTGAGCTACAATCCCAGACAAAAGTAGTGGGGAGGTTGTACAGGTTAACAGAACGTCCATTTTAATCCTCAAAAAAGAGAGTTTTCTCTTTTGCTAGTTATTCCCTGTCCCCCCTTTTCAATGTTGGGACATAACAGAACAATTACGCGCACAAACAGTAACATTTTTCTCATCATTGGGCCAGGGGCGAGGAGAAGAAGGATAAAAAGGGGGAAAAATTAGCAGCCTTCTCAACACTTTTGATGATGATTGTCTGAGAATAGGAAATTAACTTAAAACACTTATAAAAGTTATTCAGTGTTCATATACAAATTGCTGTCATAGCATCGCCTGTCAATCATTCAGTTAATTTCAGGACAGTAAACATCATGACTTTTCACATTACTCCATCGCATTACTCCAGAAGAAAATGCGAAATATGTTGCAATGAACCAACTCTCAAACAAGAAAATGGCAAAAACATGTAAACCCTGTAGGAATATGGACAGCTTTCATCGCATTTATCAGGGTTGTCACTAAGATTTCAAGTTGCCGGGTAAATACAACAAGTAGGCGGGGAGTCAAACGGCTAGGGATCTCGTTTGGTTCTATTTTTCTTCTATTTTCCAATAAAAGTAGCCGGGGGCCACTCTCTTAGTAGCCGGGGAAAATACCCGGCCCCCGGCTCTTAATGACAACCCTGATTTATCTACAGGGGTGAATTTCACTACTGATTTCCAACGTTACTCCATTATTTTAAACAGTGCCCCATAAAGGTCAATTAGCAAAGTTAGTGTAATTTTAATGCCATCCATGGAGTAATGTTGTATTTTACTTAGAGTTAAGGTAAAATGCCTATTTAACCAACTGCCTCACTCAAGTGGAAGTTGGGTGTCTGGGATACCGAGGGGCTTCCACTGTGGCCAGCCAGCTCCTAGATAGAATACTGCCCCCATGGCTGGCAATTCCTGGCAACCCAGCCATGAGCCCCCACTCCAGGCACCCGTCACACCTGTTAATAAGGGATGGGAGGGAGGGGAGACGCTAAAACAACTGCTCCACAGACCGCTACACAAAGGTTCCACAAAGAACTAGCAGATCCTAGCAGTGTACTAAAATACCAAGTACCATGTGAGCCTGCACTAATGGGATTGACGGCTTAGCTTGTGGACCAATTGACCGCTAAGCTCATAGACCGCTTCGTCAAGCGGTTCAGGAGCTTAGCGGTTAAGCGGTACATGAAACTGTGTGACTGCTAAGCTCATAGACTGCTTGACTGCTTAGCTCGTTGTCGTTAGCACTTATGTAAAGGAATAATTTTTGGCCACGAAAATGGAGTAATGTGGTGTGTGATGTTTGCATGTTTCGCCCTAAATCAGAGCGTACTTGGTTCTTGTTTTCTGAAACCAGTTTTGAAAAGCAGTGCCACAATGGATTAACTGAATTTGTTCAGCTGGAGAGAGTGGCCTCTAGAAGAAGGCAAATCTCCACTTGACATTCATCATTACCTTGCTTGCATGGTAAATTGGCATGTGCTGAATGTTGCAAAGAGTGTGAGAACTGCTGAGCAGAAAGTCAGCTGCAATGTCGTGTTCCGAATGACTTTTGGGAACTGGCAAACGCACTATATCTTGCTCTATTTGGAGCAGATCAGCCTATACTATAGTCAATAGCTTCCACTGAAAATAATCTTACATTTGTACATGTATTTTGGCCCTTTTCTGTGCCCTTGACAGAGCAAAAGTTTTACTTACAAGATTGCAAATGTGCCAAATATAAACAGGCTTATGCACCAAAAACTGTCTTAGCAAGCTGTGGCAAAATATTTTTTTCAAGAGAGTACCATTTATGAGTGTTTTTTGAAGACACTCCTACTGACAGAAAGTCGTTGACCTTTGATCATTATGGCCACTCCCAGAATTTTCAGACAATCCCAGAGAAAAGTAATTGGCAAGGTTTTACAACTTACATACAGTGTAGTTGTAACAGTAGTCTATTTTAATCCTCAAAAAAGAGAGTTTTCTGTTTTGCTAATTATCCCCTGTTCCCCCTATTCAATGTTGGGATATAACAACAATTACGCGCTCAGACATGAATGTTTTTCTCAACATTGGGCCATGGGCACGGGGAAGAAGGAAAACAAGAGGTAAAAAGTAGCATCCTTCCCAACACTTTTGATGATGATTGTAGTTAAAATTTTTTAAAGTGAGTGATGATTTTGATGAAGACTAAACTTTCAGAAATTTGTCTGCAGTGACTTCTTTCAGAAATTTCAGGGAAAGTTAGTTATTAATGGATGCGAAATTGGTGGCCTAAACTGACAGTGGTAAATTTGTTCATTATTTTGTTTGGGCCAATGTACATGTAACCTGATGCACTTCCATGATGCTTGTTGCCTAGCACATGATCTTAATATAACACAAATAAATGTATACAAGCAATTCAATTCTTTTAAAATTTCTATAAAGCAGTGTTACGGCTACAGTCATCTGAGCATGCAAATTCCACGGGACTTCAGGACTTCAGAATTATTAGGGAGCTTTAACCAACGATGAAGACTAAACTTTGATCAAATTATTTAAATTTGATCAACTTGATCTGCCTTCAGGTCTCTTCTGAAGTTTTGATTCATTTCAGAAATAATGTTCACTCAGTACTGCATGGATGGGTGATTATCAGCCAAGATTCAAGAATTGAGTGCAGTGAATTTCATCTGCCAGTGGCTGAATAAATTTTGATCTGTCTGAAACTCAACTCATCCAAAAACAGACATTCGTTTCAGTTAGAAAAGAGTAGTCTTTTGTTTAGCCAAACAACAATGCACAAGGAAAACTAATGACCATGAATAACCCTTCATATTAATGTTATGTGAGCTCAAACGTTTTTTGAACTTAGCACAACACTTTATCATATTGTTAACCATATGACCACAAAAAATGTTGATTGGCTAGTACTGAATTATGCTTTGTAGGGTTAGAAGGCTTTAGTAAAAGCTTCTTTGTTTCTCTCTCTTTTACTGCTCTCTTCTCCTCTCTCCTCCCCCCTCCTCCCAAAAAAACTGCCTGATACTCAGGCTATATTCACTGTCACCCTTTCATTTTAACCATTTTTGGATTTCAGTGACTCATTGACACGTTGATTTAATGTTGTGGAATTTCTGTAGTTTAACTTTGTAGGAAAACTGCTTGGACCAAGAGGCAACACTTTTAAAAGACTACAAGCAAGCACTGGCACTAAAATGTCTATTCTGGGAAAAGGATCTATGAGAGAAAAGGAAAAGGTCAGTAATCAGTTTTTGTAGATAGCAGACTGGTATTAACCAATGGAAAGTCAAGTAAAGAAGGGAAATATCGCAAACTATTGTCACCGTGAAATCCTAGGGTTTGCCATACATACAGGAAACAAACATATGCGTCTGCTTTGAAATGCATCAGTGAACATTAAGACTCTTTGTGTAGAGGTGTATTGTGTGCAAAATCAAACTGGAGGATCAGCACATGCCAAACTTTTGCATATAACATACTACACGAATGAACTCTAAAACTGTCTGAGTGTAAAAAGCTGAGGCCCATAAATTTTGATTACAGTGGAGATAAGATGTGCTTTTGATTTTTTTAAAACTGCTCATACAGTACGCAGCAAAACTCAAACACTTTGTAAATTGAGATTCCCTCAGAAACAAACAGTCACATCAAATATGCAAATACGAAGGTAACATCAAACATCATAACTAAATATTCTTCCTGTTTACCTAATTGACTGATCGATGTGAAAAGGCTGGGCGCTTATTTTTTCATTTTCAGTTAGAGTTTATTTTGCAAAAAACAATAAATGCATCGAAACGAAACTTTTATGAACGTGAAGAAAACTTGACTCTAAGAATGAAAACAGAAATTTTTTGAAGTCTTTCGTGGTAGCCTTAAAAAATGCCACCTCACCGACTGATCGATGTGAAAAGATTTTCATGAGTTAGAGTTCAAATCTCTGCATCGATGAAACTTTTACAACGTATTGACTCTAAGAATGAAAGAGAAATCTTTTAAGTCTTTCGTGGTAGCAGAAAATGCCACCTCACCGGCGTGGCGCATGGTTGAAAATTCCTCAAAGATCTCAGAAAGGTTCAAAAGAATTTGATAACTTCAGAAATGTATTAAAAGTGCAGCTAAACAGTCTAAACCTGACACATTAATTAAAAAAAAAATGATGTCGTTTGTTTAAGGAGAAAAAATGAGAATATTTTCAGTTTTATTGCATCATTTCTCTGCGTGATCAGTTTGAGTTGCTGGTTTCACATAAATGTCAGTGAAACTTGATCCTTGTGAAGAACTTCATTGGCTAGCCTGTGACTGAAAGTCTACTCTAACAAAAGTTGACTTATCAAGTCTGCATGTCTTACACCATACAAGCAGTGTGATATCTACATGTAGTTCAGAGCTGTCATTAAGGTTCGTAACCGGTAATACTCATTATGGCTGAGCTCACTTGTTGTTACAGGTGATCAAAGTTGAAAGCTGAAGGTGACACTATAAATATTTGTGAGATGTTACGGGTGAATCTCCATTTGCTATGGCTGCTTCAAAACTTAATGACAGCCTTGTAGTTCTTCCTCCAGCCCAAAGTTAGATTTCTGTTTCATCAGTGTGATGGGTGCCTGGAATGGGGGCTCATGTCTGGATTGTGGGGATTTGCAGCCATATAGGGGCAGCATTCTATCAAGGGGCTGGCTGGCCACAGTCATTGGAAGCTCCTTGGTATCCCAGGCACCCACCTTCCACTTAAGCAAGGCAGTTGGTTAACAATTGAAATCCTCACGTTGCCAAATTTATCTTGATTAATTACGGCATAAGTTCCTCATGCCCTGAGAATGAGGGACTATCGAGCTTCTTCAAGGCTGTTTATTTGATTTTTTTTACAACAATGCCACATAAAGCAAAGCAAAGACAGTGAATAACAAAAGAAAAATCTTTTCCTGCCTGACACATCCGAGCTGATACAGACGCTGGTCAGCGCTGATGTGTACTACCCTCGTTCAAGCTGACCCATCCATTGCATCAGTTTCGCTTGTGTGTTGTTCACCTAGTTCTGGCCTGCACTGTAAGTAGGTGGCAACTACACTGTACATGTCAGGTGATGAATTTTAATGCTGTCTTGCACTTAGCACAAGTGTGTGAAGGTAAGGAAGGGAGGCTGTCTCCCTTTCATAAATGTATTAGCCTGCTCTCACAATATTAATAGAAAATTATGAGCTAGTTATTCACACAGTGCTGTTCATTGAAACAGTGCTTTTTTTCTTTCCATGTCTCTTCTACACAATGTTACATGGGTGTGGAGTGAATCTGAGAAATAAACTTGTTTCACAGGAAGAAGAGCTGCGTACCTCTGGTGACCCAAAGCATGCTCACTTGGAGGAAGATCTCCATGTGCTGATTGAAGTGGAGGCCCCTCCAGGCCAGGCTCATGCCAGATTAGGTCTTGCTATTGAAGAGATTAAGAAATTTCTTGTTCCTGTAAGTACATGTACTGTGTGTTATGAATACTGACAAAAATGTAATACAAGCAGCACAATTTGTTAATAGTGTTCATTGTCAAGGCTGCTGCCTAAGAAATTCTTTTAGGAGCCCAAAAACTTTAGGACCCTGAGGAACATTTCTAGGAGCAAAGTAATTGGTAAACTTTAAATTTATTAGGGCATGAATAGTAGCATAGTTAAGGTTCAGCAAACATTCAGTGGCCAGTTTCCGTTTGTCCAGCTTGTAAATTTTGTTTCCTCAACCTTATCCAGGGTGCCAGAGGTTTTTTTAACGTAATTTGCATTTCGAAAATGGACCCCTGGAGCCAGGGTATCTCAACCTAGTTGTAATTAGTTTATAGGGATGACTTTATTGACACTGTCTGTTTCCCCTTTGCTGTAAGTTGATAGTGTCAACCCTATCCTCAAAACTTGATTCACACGTCTCTAAACTTGATTTGTGTGAGGTTTGAGACGCGTGAATCGACTTTCAAGTCTCAAGTTTCAAGACACCAGCATTTTTGGATTTTAATCACTCAAAGGGATTTCAAGAAAACTTTTTTTGTTGAGAAAAAATACAATAAACCATTCGCCAATCAGCCGTTCGCACAGACACTACTTTATATATGTATAATTTATGTGAGGTTCTTAAAGTTATTAGGTGATGAAAAAGGACCAACAAAAGGATTTTTATCTTGAATTTTGGAAAATTGACTCCGTATTTTTGTATGAAGTCTTTTCAAAGTGTTATTATTTTTGGTGCACAACGTCTTAAGGTATCTAATCTCCAAGCAAGCGAGACTTAATTTACAAGTGTTCTTGTTGTACAATAAAGAGTCGGCTGACACTCTAAGGTTTAAACATACAGCTATTTCGAGAAAGGTTGTCGTAAAAATGTGCACGCGACAATCCCGAAAGGCAACATGGGATATGATCAATACACTGTTCCTGACGATTGAAGCTGTCGAATTTATTTGTAGTGCTTTCCTTTAGCACTCGCAAACATATGTCCATGGCCTCAAGTGCCATTCTTTCAAATTTCTTTGAAGAAAAGTGAACTCAAAACCACCCACAATCCCTTTTGGGATTGTCGCGTGCACTTTTTCCGACAACCTTTCTCGAAATAGCTGTATAATCACAAACCCCATGATCACAATTTTTTTGAAACTAATCAACTTTAACTTGCATTCACACAACATAAGTTCACCTGTCCTTCAGGACAAACAGCGGTGTGGAAATGTGTAATGATCACTCAAGGCAATTGTAGTACAGTCAAATGTTGGCTCACAAATGAAAAGATGTACTTGATGAATATAAAAATCAATACTGATGTTGATATCATATTTTGGTATCATATTTGCCAAACAACTACCATGGACGCCATTAATGGCACCAGCACTGATCCATAGGAATTTGGTCATATTAACAGGGTCACATACTGTAAGTGGCTGGTTTCCTTAAGTGGCATCTTGACAGTTACATTCCAGTTGCCTTTCAAAACTACTGGTTAATATGAATGCGAGAGACACTTTAAGTTGTAAACCTTCGTTATTTTTTTCTCATGATTCATTGGTTTAAATGAGCTTGTTAATAAGGTGAATTTTTAAGGAAGGATTTCACAATGTGGCTATTGGCATTTCAACAGTTTTCACTTGAAATTTACGATTATTTTATCATTGAAGTGTCTGCATTTTTATCTTAATGGAGTTAATAGACAGGCAACACAATCGTGTTAAAATTCTTTTTTGGTAAGCTTGAATTTTGGTATTTTAAACTTACGCATTTGCCTTCACCTTCTTGTTTTGGTTATACACTGTAATTTTCATGATTATTTGGCTGAGGGCAAAACTAAGAGTTGGGAGTCTTGCATCTTGCATGTATAGTGGAATAACTGGTACAGCTCAGAGATACATTTACATGTACTATGTATGTTACAAACTGTAAAAGTTTGATAACCTTAAAGCTTTCAAAATTTACTCGTGCTTCTCAAATTAAAAGTGAGGGCAAAGAAGTGTGTGTCATTGAACAGTAAGTACAGTGTCCTTAATCAAGAAGTTGACATAAGTAATAAAATGGTGTAACTTTGTTGTTAGGAAAACAATGATGAAATCCATCAAGAACAGATGAGAGAAATGGCAATACTTAATGGCATGGAAGAACCAGCAGCAGCGCCTGTACCAGTTGCCACACCTGTTCTAAGAGGTCGTCCACATGCCAGAGGAGTCCCACATCACCCTCATCATCCTGTACACCCTGGTAGAGGTGCTCCTGTTCCACGTATAGCTTCTATTCCAAGGGCTAGAGGACCCCCTTTAGGACATGTGAGTGTCAGTGCAGCACGATCTGCAGCAGGACTAGGACCATCCTCACCCACTGTGGCTCATGCTGCACCAAGGGCTGCCGCAGCACCTGGTGATCCTTACGCAGTATGTTACTTTCTTTTCCTGTATTTTGTTGTGCTGTTTTTTTGTGCGGAATCCCTATTCAGTCTGTATCAGATTGAATTAAGACCACTTTCAGTTAGCACTCATTTTATAATTCATTCTTTGGTTGACCCAATGCAGGGTTTGAGTAGGTGGTTGTGACATGAAATTGCGATTGTGAAAATTCTACAATTTCAAATAAAGAGATTACTGAAATACTACAATGTGCAACAAAGCTGTCTTTGCCCGCACAACATGAAACCTTTTTCACTAACCTGGGAGTTGACAGAAGAAAACAAAGCTCTACCTTTCTTCTTGGGTGTGGAAGCATTTAAATTTTTTTACTATTTTTGCTTTTAAAGGATAGAACTGGAATTTCCCATGTTTAAAAAAGTTTAGAAATTTATTGAAGTTTATTGATCTTCATAGAAGTTACAAATTAAGTTAAATTAAATTGAATACACGTACAAACATCCTCTCCTTCTCTCCTTGCAAAAAGCTTGCCTAATCGAGGCGGGCAGAGGAAAACATAAATCAATTTACTAAGAAGAAATTAAGCAAAGGAAAGGAAAATTCTGTCAAGATCTAATTTTTACGTATATGCTGCTTACTGGCACATGTGTATGTCGTAGTTAATTTATATCTCAGGTAATTTTTGTTTATCTTTTGTTTTTGGGTATGGTAATCTATGCTAGTGAAGTTGAAATGTATTGAATTTTACTTAATTGGTTTTCTTTCTGATTCTGTTCAGATCACCTTGTGTGTATAATAAAACAATTATTATTCTTTTTGATCTTGAATAGTACTGTAGCTTGTGGGATATATTTCTTGATTTCAAACAAAACAAGTTTGATATACTAAGGCTTAATCCCAGATACCAGGGTAAAATAGGTGACTGGAGCAGGAAAAAAACCATAAACACTGACTATTAACCGCTTAAAAGTAAGTTATTACCTTCTCATGAGACTAGACTTGTCACAAGAGATGAGAGCCTCATCTTGCGAGACAAAGGCTTGATGTGTACCAGAAAATAAAGACTGTTTAAAATTGTCTAAGTTTGTAACAGAAGTGATGTGTGAATTGTGAGCAGCATTAATTAGCACTTGATGCTGTGGACCTGTGATCATGTTTTGAACTAATGTTATTAATGCACAAACACAAGACAATAGACAAAGAAGTCAGTTCTTCAAAATTTTTATTTAAAAAACTGGTACCTTTGTACTTATAAGCATTTCACATAACATTTACTGATCATGGATCCATTCTTTCAGTTAAATTAGCTGAGCACTTGGCAAAAATTAATTTAACACTAAATCCATCTCAAATGGCAGTGCTTTCCTACATGTAAATTTCCTTTAAAGGTAATATTGTATTGTATAAAATGTCTACAAAACATTTTAAAATACATAAATCCCATTAAAAAAATGTTATGTCTTTGACCATAATGTACAAAAGGTACCTGAAAAGACTCGGCTGTCTTGATTTCATTCCATTCAAAGGCAAAAGCCCCTCTTTGTCTCAAAACGAAAAATAAGCATTATTTTGAACAATTCATCTGCATGTACAATCATTCTAGTCTTGTGAAATACACTGCAAGTGTCATTGAACGTTCTTTTCAAGCTTGTCATACATGTACTATTTGATATATACTGCAAGTGCAGATATTTTCTGGTTGTTGCTTCTCTCCGCAATTATGTCTGCATATGCAGGCTAGTTGTTATTGATGTTTATACTTCGGTCCAGATACAAAAGGATGTGAATCTGTCAAACCCATCTGAAGTGTACAAATTTCTCCAATTTCAATGTGGAATTGAGGTTGCAGATGAATGTCACCAAAGTTTGGTGACATTCATCTGCAACCTTAATTCCACTGGTACAAAGTTGAATGTATCACAAACCCTGATTACTGCTACCATTGACTCCCGATAACTGGAACCCTCACTAACTCGAACCTCACACTAACTCGAACCAAAATTTATTTCCCCTGTCCTTCATACATTTACTGTAGTTTTATCCTTGTTACATGTAACTCGAACCCTCAATAACCCGAACCTCCCAGTAACTCAAAGTAATTTTGGCTCTCCTTCAGATCATTTCTATATAAAAAAATTGTACATTGAATTTTTTTCAAAACAACTATGTTTTCTTTGACTTTACCTTTTTCTCATTCCAATTCTGACAAATACAATGTCCAGCCCTGTATTATTATTCAAGCTTTGTTGCTTGAATTCCTCTTCCAAAATATCAATACCTCTTGCTGTCCTTGAAGTGAAGTGTGCATGATACTTGCATTCCATCCCCATCCTATTAGCTTATTTCCTTATTTTCGGTTAGTTTCTTTGAGCTCCCAATATTTGGACTTTTTTTAAAGTTATCAGGAGTGACTGAAGTTGTATGAGATTGTTGAACCATTTTATTTCAAAACCACGTTTTTCACTTTTCCTATTAAAATGAAAGTAATTTTGATAGCTGCAAAAATAAAAAACAGTATGTATAGAATGCAAGTAAAGTTGTATGGTATGTTTAACATTTATATTATGGATGTAAATAAGAAAAAAACTAGTGATCTGAGTTTAAAATGTTTTTACACTGTTTATAAAAATAAAACTGTAACTAGCAAACCTAAGCAAATTTCACTTGTGTAGGCAATGCGTGCTCTTCCTACAACAGTTGTACAACAGTTGCTGACTCCTGGGGAACAAGCCATTGTAAGTTTGAGGTCATCAGTAACCAAGATAAAAGTAATGATAGAGCTAAATTAAAAGCAAAACTTGTCACCAATTAATATTTCTTTAAACAGTGAGACGTGATCATTTAGTACAATAATAAAATAATTTATGCTAAGCAGTAACAGATAATAAATTATATTAATTTCTGGTACTTGTAAGAAGATAAAGCCACCTTTATCTGCCAAGTTACATCTATTTTAAATCAGTAGGAGTGTGCAGTTAACTTCTTGTTATTAGGTGCTCCTGTGTTTTCCTTGCTTTCTTGTTGAAATCTACAAATTATGTACAATGTATGTCACAGTGATTTTGTTACCTCTTCATCCTTCTCTCTGAAAAAAAAAAAATCTCAAAATACAGGCTATAATTGGCACAGATCCTGTAATCGATAAATTGCCCTGAAGTCTTGTGACTTTAAATTGATTTTAAAACCTAACTAATTCGAGGAAGCAATTTTATAATTTGCCGTAAAATAGGTCCGTCCACTGGGAGTTTCTAACTGAAACTATAAACTGGAAGGTATTTCTGCACATACTCGGACAGTGCACTAAAATGTCTAAATTTTACTATCAGAAAGCTGACTTCAGATTGCCGGTCTGCTTACTTGAAAGACCCTGAAGGTTCAATAATTGTTTATATTGGACTCAGTTATATTGGGAATGGCGCCCATGGCAGTTTGTAACAAAATCACTTTGTTAATAATAAAGAAGTGTTAGCCCTTTTTGGGGTCTCTATCAAAACTAATGTGATCAATTATTTTCTCAGGGTTATGAGTCTTATGAGCCAGGACTTGAATACGAGGCTGCTTTTCCTGAACATGGGTAGGTACCCACTGTCCATTGTTATTCATGATATTGACATCATATCATTATTCTGATAAGCCTGTACCAGTGAACAGTTAGGAAGTGGATATTTTGTATTACATCTAAACTACAGAATACACCTCACCCACTTGACACGACTTGTTTTTTTTCGTATGTGAATAATTTATCAAAACAGTTTTGTATTATTGGAATTTACAGGGAGGCGCTATATTATGAATATGGACAGCCAGAAGTGTACGAAACAGCTTATCCAGGTAAGAATCCTCTCTTGAGTGATTTTCCAGCAGACAGTTTAAACAGTCACGTTTCAATAATAAGTAATAATTACAACAAAACTGTATTATTTCCTAGTGTGGCCATCAGGATTGGGCTAATAAAAAGTAGACTGTAAACTTATTTTAAACTTTTGAAAATTTAATGATTGACAATATACTTTAATGGCAAATCTAAACATGAGTTTTGTACAGCATTTAAATCCTGAGGTAGTACCTTGGTTTTGTGCGTCATTAGTACAATATTTCATGTTAGTTGCTGTGCATGTAAATGTTTTGAAAATACTGTAATATACTGTTTTATATAGGAAACAAAAAATTAGTAAGTAGACTTTCCGTAATTACTGGTTGACCTAGTAAATACTGTAATTTGTGTGTAACAATTTGATGGTAAAATATTACATATTTATGACTCATGAAAGATGAACTTAATCTCTGAAATATAAAGGCAATTTGCAGCTTGCATTACCAAAAAGGTTTAAGTTAATTTGACCATACTTCCAGTCCTGCTTTGGGGAATTTCCGTGCACTTCTTTTGAAAATATTTTTTTCTGTTAGAACAGTTTTTTTTGTTAAGGTTTATGTCCTAAATATACAATTAATACAATGACTAAATTTTACTCATAATAACTAAAGAGCTTCCGGTAATTTAATTCAGCTTGTCAATAATGTCTTAATTTTAAACTCACCTTAAATTCTTATTTTAGCTCCAACCAGAGTTCCAGTGAGTTCATCTGCAACGTTCAAGGCTCCTCCTGCTCGAACTGTCAAGAAAATTGTTCGTGAAGCAGCTTACCCTTACTGAACCACATATAAACTTTTTTAGGTTTCTTATCCCAAAAACAACCTTGTTGGTACAAATTGTAGAAAATCAAATCTTGTTTTTGTTCAAAAGGTGGCAGTATGCAGCTGCATTGTCGTTGAAAATTATTTAGATAATTATAGATATTTTCATACTTTGCATTTGAGTGCATTTTAAGTCATTTTTTGGAAAATGTTGACATCTTAATTTTATCACGTAATTATATAACCCTATAATACAAGGGTAGTTCTGTACACAGTTTTCACAGTAAACTTAGATTAACATGTGGATTAACTGTAGTACCTGTAAGGTTAGGTAAAGATAAACTAACAACCAATATTATGTTCACTAAACAGTTAAAAGACTACCTTTTGCCTTAGAAAGCCTAAACATGCCACTTTTATTCCCTTTTTTTCATTTCAGACGGTAAGTTAATCATAACCTGTTTAGTAAAGCCATTGTCGTGAAGCTACTCAAAAGTATTGAATGTCTGCTTAACATAAGTGTGATTGTTTATTTAATACTAACTGTTTTGTTTAAAAAGATTTAAATTCCTCTGGTAACCTAAAGTTTTGGTAAACTGAAAAATGAATTTCACCTCAGGAATTAAACGAACATAAACTTTAACTGTTTTAAAAATATTTTTGAAATTATTTGCAAGCAACTTAGACCTTTAAACCACACGTAAACTTGTGTAACATTTCATTTGTGATAAATCTTTAGTGTTAAATTTCAGTAACTTAAAGTTGTCATGATTGAAATCGAACTGAATAAAGACATTAACAACCTTACTAAACAGTCTGGTCTTAGCTTTTAATACTTGAATTATTACTTTATGCGTTCTCAGTTTAAAAAAAATGTTCATGTCAGGATATAACCATAAAGTAAATACTTTGTGTGGAGTTTAACCGTCTGTTGATTTTGAAAAACTCAGTAAACCCACAATGAGACAAAGAAGTCAGGTATCATGAGTCAACTATTATTTTTATACAGAGCATGTAAAATGCTGTAACTTGGAATAGACTCATAAGAACTATTTTGTGATAAGATGATTATTTTTCCAAAATAAATTAAACCAATACTTTGGTCATAAATGCACCCCTAGGGAAAGTTTTTCATCTATTTTTATAAAGTTAATGTGATGTTTATGTTTTTGAACTATTTGTTTTTTCACTGCTGTTAACAAGCTACAAAGCATTTTGAGTAAAGCTTTTTTCTACGCTTATTTCAAATAATAAAGGCTCATTTGTATTTTAACTGAGTGAAGTGGGTATTGTTTACAGTGAGAATTGCTTAAAACATTTCATGACCAAGTGTATAAACAAAATCTAAGGTATTTAACCCGACGTGGTAAGGGTTAAAGCACTTTTGAGACTCCATTTGCCCCAGGAATATTTCTGGCTCTCTACTTGGGAAAGCAGCTATTTAAAAAGTTATATGCGACCTGTAATGAAGGCTTATATTCGCCCCTCCGCACAACAAGAACAAATTCAGTAAGTTACCAACACAGAAGGGCAAAATAGAGCAATTTGTCACAACATTTAGCATCTTTTTTGCTGGTTATGGACACTTCTAGAAAAAGATGGAGTTTTCAAAATGCCTTCTGAGTGGATCTTTTACAGTGATTCTTGCAATCTTACTGGTCTCCATAACAATATCTTGTATTAAACGTGTCTAATCCCTCTCTACTTGCTTGTCTGTCTGTATGTTAAAAATGGCGGAGGTGGCTTGCTTGATAATTTCATAAGGTCACCAAATTGCTCCTTAAACCTGACCAAACAAATTTTGTACTTGAAGTAGATCATAAATTAACTCAACTATACTGCTGTACCAGGATTTTGAGCATCTGGGGATTAAGATCTGCCATAAGTACTTATAGCCAAATGTTAACAGTAGCTAGTTCCAGGGCCCAGAGTAGTGCTGTCATTTCTAAACGAAATCCTTATTTGTAAATCATAAAAGCCAAATTTCAAAGTGATTCTAAATCTTGTGGTTGTAGGACCATTGCCATGTAATCTAACACCAGAAAACTCATAACAAAGTCGGAATAGGTGTAACAAAATGCTAATTTTTTGAAGACTCGGTCTGCTACCTAATATGGAAAGTAAGGCTTTTGAGAGCAATCTGAGGCTCGAGGAAGACTCCATTACTGATGGCTAATGATATGAAAGGTAAATTGTTTTATTGCTTACTTAGTTATTCAAGAATAACCCCAGTATTAAATAAAATCTGTAATTATTTAAGGTGGATTACATTCTTTTTGACAAGAACTGAATTGAAATGCAAATTTACAAAACTTGAACTGAAGAGCAATGCCCAGTTGCTTTTATGTTAAGGTAGCAGTAACCTGGGAAATGTTCTTGTAAATTTAAATCTAATGGAAGCCAAACAATGTAAAAACTTGTTTCACTCAAATGAAAAAGTTAACATGTTGATAATTTGAAACTGAATGTTGTAAACACTTTGTGAATGCTATAGTATGTATTTTTAATAATGCGTGAATTCACAATTTGAAATAATATAGCCTCTCCTGGAGATGAAAGGAAAGTGGTAGAAATATAATAACAGATCATATTGTTGTTTTTAAGTGTGAAAAATAGACTTTACTATACCCATTTTTGCTGTCATTTTCTCTAGTGAAATGGAGGAAAGTTCACCGTTAAGTGAGTTGACATCAGTGTGTTGATGTGTTCCCCTGCCTTCTTAATAAACTTGTATGGAGGAAAACATGTGACTCAGTTCCACTGGTTCCTATTTCTTTGGGGATTTTATGGTAATTATGTATTGGGATTTACATGTATATTGTGTACTGTTGCTAGTTGATGGTAAGTAGTAATACAGATGCGCATGATCTTTTTGTGTTATTTGGAGTATGTAGGTGCGGCTGTTATTAAGGGCTGGGGCCAGAGATTTTCCCCGGGTATTAAGAACATGTCCCTTGGTTACTTAAATTGAAAGATGGAGGAAAAATGGAACAATAGCTGTTTGGTTCCCTGCCTACTTGATGTATTTACCTGGCAGTCAGTCTGCGAACAACCCTCGCAACCCTCTTGATTCATTTTTGAGTTAGTAACCGGTTTATTTTGTGTTTGCATAGCCATGACCATTCTCAGCATATTCTTGAGTTCTGCACTGATGTCACTGATGCCAAACTGCTAAGCTGCGGCGCTGCTGTCTTGTGTGACGTCACTGTTATGTGCAATTTACATTCACTGACGGGTAAGTGACTGACATCTGTGTAAGTATTTTCTAAGCATCTTCCAAATTTGGACAGCACCAGCTAGTTATGAAGAATTATGCTTAAGGACTGACGTTGAAATTTGGAATGCTGACACTGCGGGAGAAATTATTATCTTGAAAAGTTTATTTTTTGTGTCTTTCCACGTTTATTTCTCACGTTTATTTCTTTTTGTCTTTTGTTGCCAAGAAGCTGTCTTCTATCAAAGACCTGGAGGCTTTTATCACAGTAACTGGTTGCCTTCACAGACAAGACAGGTCATAAAATCTTTAAAAAAATCACGCACTCGCAAAACTATTATTCCTGGTGGTCACGTTTTTGGAAGGGCGACTTATAATGTGCACGTGCTATTAGAACACGTTTCCCTGTTAGTGTACGCAAGATATTTGTCATTATTGGGCTGCGTGTGGCAAAGCCCAGTGAGGTTCTGAGTAGCGTGTATGTCAAAAAAAGACAAAATGGCGGACGCATAATCGGGAGGATGTTTGTTGTCCCGCGATTACTTGACCTTTTGGAGGAAGGGAGGGATAGTCATTTCAGACTGACTGAGATAAATACAAACAGACTTGACTTAAAATTATTCAAAGTATTCAATCGCGAAACTGGCAGACCAATGTACCCCCATTATGGGGGTCTTATTTTTTAGGGCTGCAAACCGTTGGTAGCAAGCAATTTCTAACAGAAATGGTTCGGTGACATTGCAATAGACCTCATTCACATTGTTACCCTTTAAGAAACCACGTGACATTGGTTTTATCCCCTCAGTCCTCAGGGCGTGGAAAGGTGGCGATTATAGTGAATAACGTCTATTATAATTTTCCTAAAACATGCGAACATACGTACATATAAGGAATAATACATTTATTTATTCAACTCGGGTAGAATTTTTGACCTGTCGTACCAAGTGCTAATCTAGGCGAGCCTTGCCTTAATCAAACAAGTGAAAAAACGTTGATTGTAGCCTGAGTATCAGGCCTTCCTAAGGGGAGAGGAGATTTTTTCGGTCTCCCTTTTTCGCTTCTTTTTCCCTTTCCTCCAGAAACGCCTGATACTCAGGCCACGTTGATTGTTAAAAGAAATTCTCCTCAATGTGTTGAATGTGTCGCAAGCTGTGTGGAGAAAAGGAGAAACATTCTTCAGCTTCACGATTGGCTATTGCATAGGAAGCCTTCGCTCAGTTTATGGAACCTCAAAATAACAAGCGGGGTCATAAAGACTGTTAACGTAAAATGGCAACGAATTAGTCGTAGGGCGTTAAACTTGATAGCTTGTAAAATGTGTGCTTTTCCCCTCAGATTTCTATTAGCCGTAAGTAGGTTTGGATAAATTCTGCCGGCAGAATTTCGAGCAGAATAAGTGATTTTTGAGGCGAGCATTCTGCTGGCAGAAAAATACATTTTCGAACACGATTTGAGCAGAATATGAGGGAAAATCAGCAGCACTAATGATATGCATAACAGTTGTAAGAAAAATTTAAAACTAGATAAAAAACAAGTGGAAAATAACTTGTGATTAATTTGAAATCAGAACATCCAATTTATTCAGGAAAAGAAAATGAAGCTCATTTTCTCCGAGAAACAAGAAAATTGGAATTTCAATCATTTTTACTAAATGATAAACGTATTTACATAAATGTTTAGTTATTTGGTTATTTAATGATTATGATTATTCTGTAATCAGTCTGAGAGAGGGCAAATAAATAAATGACAAACCTGTGATATGATGAAATTGAGTTTCCTCTGTTATAACTTCAAGTCCTACCGAACGGATTTCAGAACATTTTAAGTATTTATTATATTTTAGTGTTAAAAAGGGAAAAGTACTTGGTATCGGTACCCTGCGAGCAGAGCCGCTCTGTTCTTTTCGGCCGGCATGGTTTTTTCATTTGGGCAGTCGTAGGCGGAGGTCTTATTTGGCTGCCTACGGCAAAGCCTAATCGAAAAATGAGTGCGTCAAGTCAAACAAATCAATAATTAATTGAAATCAATAAAGTGGAGCAATTACTGGAACAAGCCTAACCGTAACCCGGCTAACCTTACTGCGGTCTTTATAGTTGACGCGTACGGTTAGTTATAGCTATTTTCACTGTTTTTTCTTACTAATAAATAGTGTCAGTAACTGTGCTCACATTGTGGGTGGTTCTTCCTGAAATGTTCTACAATTGGTATAGTATTTAATGCAGCCGAAACCAGTTGTAGAATTGCACACATTTTAAGCATCCTACTGATGAAAAGTTACTGTTTTTAGATAATTTTACAGGCAACAACAATTATTTGCGGTCTGTTCCCTTAGAATTTCATGGTCTTTATGATTCCGCAAAAGTGCGGGTTTAAAATCGTCAATAACAATTTTACTGTACATACTTTCACGCTGTTGAACTCGATCGTAAATGAAAGACAACAATTGTGCTTGGTACGAGCACATGGGGCCCACAGAATCTGTTTGTGTAGCCGATTGTTATTTTATAGTAATTGTACTGGATATACCGTTCGCCTCACCTATACCGATATATCGCCAGCTATGTATATAAATCAATGATAAGTAAACGTTGAATTACCTTACCTGTGGTGTAAAACGGTTTTTTGAGCGATTTTGAAGGAGGTTGAGGTCGCCGTTGCAGTCAACGGCGAACTCAAACTTACTTATCATTGATTTAAGCGTGATTTAAGCAAATCTGATTTTTGCTGCACTGAGTCTTACATTATTGAAGGTGATTCATGCCCTCTTAGTTGTCATTTCCTGTGGTTTATGCTGCTTTCGGTGTTTCTGGTATAGCCAGAAAGGTGAAAATTTTAGAGTAATCATCACCGCCGTTAATATATCTGGGCGTTGATGGGCGGAAGAGCCAGAACAATGGACCTGTAGAGAAGCCATATAACAATGACCGAGACCAGGTTTTGTGAGCCCGAGAGACTCGACACCCCACCCAAACCCTTGTTTTCACTCAAACCGCTGGACGCCAACCTGGATGAGGTAATTGTTTTCTAGGGTCTTCCGGACTGGTAACAGGCGCTTTATGTTTTTTTCTTATCCCTGAGTCTCGTCTCGCACTTTGCGCAGAATGCCTCGTTTGCCGCGCTTGCGTCATAAAGGGTCTGTTATGCTGGCTAGGCTAGGTAACAACAGCAACAACAACAATCTTTATTGTGCTCTTGATACAAAAAGTGTAAAGACATTAAAAGGAAATAATTGTGAAAAAAGACAATAGGAGAGAGAACCTGGAAACGAGGTAGTGAAAAAAAGAGAGCACAGCCATACAGAAATGGCAAAAGCTAATCGCGCTGAGTGGGTGGGCCATGCGCAAAAGTAACTAGATATCAAAGTTGTTATAAATAAAAATCTTACTCGCTGACCGCTGACCGCACCTAGGTTCGCCTACATTGACAAAGTGGGTAAAAAGAACGCAAATTCACTTTGTAAGCGACGTTCACGTTGCCGTCGCGTCGTTGGATTTTTAAGTCCCCAATATTCTGTTGAGAACGTCCGCTGGCCGGATAGCCTGCGTAGCAAGCGTTTCCGCGCGATTTTGAAGAAGAGAGTCAAAGGCCGCGCAAAAAATGGCGCGAGTACAAGAGCGGGGAGGGGGTGGGAAAGGAAGGTAAGGAAACGCTTGCAGACAAACCCGGGATTATGAAAACTGCCCATTTGCCCACTCATGCCTGAGTGCGCGCACCGACACTTGCTGTCATCAGCTGTTATAAATTGACCAATAAAATGTTTGGCCTTCGTGGAAAGGAAGTGAATTTTCCAGGACGCTTGTGGAACCAAAAATAGTTTCTTTGTATTTCGGAAGCAACGCATGGATAGCGGGAATGGAGAAATCTCGATGAATCGTATTAAAGGTACATTTCTCTTTTTAATCCGTCTAAAAGGATGAAATCCAAGGGTGAAGTTTTGAAGTTTTAGCTCAAAACTTCCAGAAAGTTGGATTGGAGGTAGTAAAATGTGACGAGCATTCAAATCTATTTTCGATCTGCGACGCGGTTATTTGTACAAGGTCGTCAAAGCTCCCTTACCGTTCTCGCCACGGCGCAGAACTACTAGACTTGTCCTTGTGAACAGAATTAACAAACACCGCAGAAAATTTATGTACCTCTCAGTATGAAACAAACCTTTCATCGACACATGTCAACATTTAAACTACAAAGGATCTATAGCTAGAAGACCTAATCAGCAAAAATATACACTGAGTAGACACATAAAAGACTGCAAAGCTGATAATACTACGCGAAAATTAACTTTGCAAGACGTCAACACGACACCGAAATAACCCAAAACAGAGCGTGGTCGTAGCCGTAGACAGCTGTTTCGCCATTTTTGTGGCTCACCAGTACGGCGCAACGATCAGAGAAGCTCTGCTGAAAAATACCCGCTCACTCTGTTTTAGAGACCTGACATGTTACTCCAACATTCACAGAATCACGTCATGTCTCTGGGCGGCATATGGCGTGATTGTGTGGAATGTGGGAGCCCCAATAAGGGCGAAACAGCTGTCCATGGCTGCCACTGCCGGAGGTGATATGGTTGTTCGCATGCGTAAGGTACTGGCCATACCTCGGAGTTCGTACGTGTGCTTCGGTGCTTTAACTGGTATTAAACCAATGTACCCCATCTTGTTTTCATTATTATGGGATAGCTCGGTTAGGGACGGACAATTAGAAAAGTTATGGTGGTGGGCGGGGGGAGGGGTTGGCAAATTCATCAGAAACAAGAGCGCGCTTACAGCGGCATACCGTCTCGCCGGCTTCAGATTAGATCGAGAAATGAGGCGATTAATTCTACAAGAAACATGATTTACTCGCTAAAGGTTTTTTACTTCCTACCTTATCGAGGTCGATACTTTTTGTTTCTGAATTGATTAAGTACGCGTGTTAGCGACGACCAGAAATACCTCTGCGGTAGCAGGCTATACGCGTTTATAAATACACAGAAATTCAAGGGCCTCGATTCCAGAGAAATTACATCATTGCCAGATATCAAAAACGTGATTTGCATGGCACGTCATTTCAATCACCGCAGAAAATAAATCGCATGCTCATCACAAGAGTATTTGCATACGGTGAAAGTACAACAGCCGACCATCGCAATTTTGCTAATTAAGATTCTCATTTTTTTTTCGACCACTCAGTAGCACTTGTTCCATAGTAATCAACGCTATCAAGCGATAGCATTCGTGGACGGACACGTTTCGGAAAAGCTCTTAATACTTCCTAAGCTTTCTTCGCAAAACATGCGTTGCTTCGATCACGCAACGATTCATAGTCCCAGATTCCACGGTCTCCGCAAGGAACGCCTGGCACAGTGACCTCCCTTTTGTGTCCTAAACACAAAGTCCTAAACACGACCAAAAATTCCGGGGGGTACTTCCAGAATTATTGGGTGGGCGTGTGCGGCACGCTTCCTGAAACCCTTCAGAACAAAATTTAAGAATTTGTTCATGCTTAGCGTGCGTATATCGAGTTATGGATGCACGCGGGAAGTTTGGAGAGCACGAAAGATGCGTAAGAGTTCGCCGAGTGCAACTCTAGCTTCTTGAGTGCTCTCCAAACTTCCCAAGTGCATCCATAACTCGATATACGCACAGCTAAAAGCATGAGCAAATTCTTTTATAACATAGCTGACAAAAATGCTTGCTTTTTGATTAACTGCAAAATTCTCGTAACGCGCTACACAATAACAAACGGTTCTATTGGCTGATTACGAACACGCCACAATCGTCAAGTTTAAATGAAAATATTCTTTCTGTAAAACTGAGAAAGAAAGTTTGCCTCTTTATTCGTTAACGATCAATGGAAATTAAACAGAAACAATGGTAAAAGAGTCTTAAAGTTCACCTAAAGGTAAAATACTCACATGTTCGTAAGAAGTATGTAGAGTATGGTTTGGATTTGCTGAAAAGATGTTTACGTTTTGCTCGGCGAAATCCAGAAAACATGTTTTTAGCGAAGACGACTGTCATCCTTCTTTAAACTTATATTCATTTACGAACATTGGCTGATCATTACGGCTTCTTGAGAAGACCTGGCAGCAGTTGTTTTTGTGAGTAATAAATTTATATCTTCTTGTGTAATTTGTGTTGTTATTGCGAGAGAAATTTTCCTGCTTCAGTCGGATTGTCCGGAGATAACAAAAGTGCATAACAAATTTGAAAACAACAATAAAAACGGAAATTTTACCTTTAAATGTTGTTTATGACCAGTTGGTGTCTGTTCTGTTCCCAGTGAATGTCTTTCGGCCAAAATTCGCTGCAGCTGGTCTTCCGACAAATTTGCGAAACGCGCAACTTGCGAGTTTTTTTAATTCGGTTTTATTTTTGCTGCTTGTTGGACCGGGATCTAAAAGGTCAATGCCGATAGAAAAATTGGGCAGTTCTGCGCTGGTTTCTTCCATATTTTAACGAGAAGGAAAACTGCACTGCAGCTTCAAAGACGACAATTTTGCAGCCAGGTAAAAAAAAATGCTCACGTCATCTTATTTACGCAAGGGCGTGCGTAAATAAAGATTTTGTTCATAGCGGCTCAATAGACCTTTCCCGCATTCCTGTAAACAAAGGCACCAACTCGAGGCTCGGGTGGACAAAATACAGTGATTTGTATGAAATTGTCCACCC